TACTTCTTCACACATTTCATTCTTTCATTTAAGCAAATAATCCAACATGGATTGCTTTCGTTGCGAATTGATTGTTACAAAGTTAGATTATTATACTCTGTTGGCACTACGGAATATCGTAATATCGATAACAATAACAGGTTTGACGTTGGATATTGCTATTATTCATTTTGTGGTATATTCCAAATGTACTCGGTTTTGCATGTTTACAAAAAATATCCATGCCGAAAAAAGAACTACACTTCCGCAAATAGGCTGTGACATAATATCCTCGAAGAAAATATCAGTACGACAAATTGCCCATTTGGTTTTGGTATTTGAACCGATATTTTTTTTTTTATTATCAAATAGAAACAGTGTCAACAGCATTGTATTGAAAGCACGTGAACATACTCAAAAGAAAAAATATCACCGTGGTTATGAATGTGCGGAACTGTGGTATAATAAACGAATTTGACAGATGGGGCGGGAGCCATAATCTCCATTTTATTTACTGTAATTAAATGTTATGCGAAAATATAGCCAAAAACACTCATAAAATGGCAATTCAACAAAGTATGAAGGTAATGCGTACCGAAATTCATGGTTATGACTTGAATGTGGGAGTTCACACTTGACTTCTATTTACAAGTATTAAGCAATAAGCTTTTTTTTGAAAAGTGAATTTTTTGACTGTTGAATTTGGTAGAGACTATTCTTATGGATACAAAAAAATTCAATGAATTTGAAAGTTTGCGGAAAATTTGCATTTTTTTCTTTATTTTAACCGCAAATTTGCACAAGCTATCAATTCGCCATCAATTACTCAAAGTACCTATGTAACGGGAAATGTGATGAAATGCATGTAAAGTTACGTTGAATTACTTTTTGCTCGCATATTGTTGCCAATGGGCTGATACTAATTTTACATTATTTTCATGCGTCAGTGTCAGAAATTATGTTATTTTACTTTTTCCCTGTTGCTAAGTGGATCGGAAATTGTTATACTGTTGTAAGCGATACGTATATTATGTAAAAAATGTTGGCAATTTTACAGAAACTGTTATTTCCAATAAAATGTGTAGGCAAATCTTAATTACAAATGACCTCGGGAATAGGTGTTCATAGAAAGAGAAGTGAGAATGGGAATGCAGAGGTACTTTGACTACTTGCTCTGAAAACCCACATCGAATGTACGAAAAGTCATTATTATCGATAAAACACTATTAAAAATATCAATAAGATTTGTATGAAAAAATTTCAAAAAAATCTTCTCCAAATTCATACAAATTTTCCGAACGTTAAAAAAAGGCTTGAAATCCTATGATGAGTCATAGAACGTATCTTTATATTTACTATTTAAGGCTAGTGAGCCCGAATATGCTGTTGGCCAGATTGTCATTTTGATAGGAAATTATAGAACGGATAAAAACTTTTCGTTCGATTCGAATTTTGTGCTTTCAAACATTTTGTCAATTATGTCATTGATAAAGTTTTGAAACACATTGCAAAATGAAAAGGTGTCAAACTGTCTATGAAAAATGCATCATCACATTTACTAGTTGGCACATGAAGTTTAAAAGTTGACAATTGCAGGGAACCATCTATGAAAAATATAATTAAATTTTGATAAAATGCTTAGTTGATATTTCAAGTTGGTCAACAACAATATATATATAAAATGTTGTGCAGAAGCTATGAATCATTAAAACATTTTTTTTTTCACTGCAAACTTTTTCGTCAGATCTGAAATAGTAGTGATGATATGAAATTATATTTATTTAGTTGTGGAACAGTTTTATTTTCCGTTCTGTACTTTATACTTTTTTCTGCTGCGCCATTATTTGATTGAAACATTTCGTATCTTTATATCAAAAAGTGTATGAAGGTCCTTTTGTTGGCAAAAGCATCATAAAACTTGCATATGCTGTTACGTTTCAAACCTACCAACGAATGTCACTTGTTACATTTTTTCCTCATTTCTTTTCATTTTTGCTGGCACTTTCACTTCTTTACATTTCTGTTTCCATGCTCAATATTTATTCAACTAACAATGAAAAAGAGTATTTTTTTCCGCAGGAAGCTTTAAGTATTTATTTCTTCTTTTTTTCTGAACAAACACGGACCGTACAAAAGAAGAGAATGAAAGAGAGAAAATAAACTTTCTAGTTATCAAGATTTATTTGCTAGCTTACAGCAATGCATAAGTGAATACAATAAGACCTTTTTTGAATGTGCTGAATTTTCTATAGCAATCAACTGAAATCAGAAACCATTTGGCTTTGTTTTGAATTCACCATTCGTTTTTGGCACTGGTTGAACATTTTCCACCAATTAAATATGTACAGCGGGGCAACACGAAAATTTGCAATGCACACCAAATCCAGACTATGAAATATTGATATAGTATCGAACAACTTTGTGCGTGTTGTGCGCCTTTCTTTGTTTCATGCTCGTGTCGAAAAGGGCATTTTGGACTTGGACATGATCGATATCATGTACCCGAAACTCAACAGTATCAACAAATTTACATGTCAACTTGTAAAAATTGCTGATAAATCGGTTTTTTTCTTTGCTGTAGAGAGAGAGAGAGAGAGAGAGGGATTTCAAAGAATTAGAGGCGCATTTTCAAAGTTATCTCAGCACATTCGTTCACACAGTTTGTTAAAATGACGCAAATCGAATTCTTGGTAAAAGGTTAAATCAACAATAAGAATAAATCGTTTATTCATGTGTTTGAACGTGCTTACTCTGTTTCTCTCCGTGTCGATGCACAACTTTTGAAATGCATATTGCTTGTCGATAAGAGCCCCAACAAACTTATTGAAAGGAGCATTTGATCTTTCACCAGAAACGTCTTTTATCGAAAATCCAATCTTCCCTTTTAAAATTGGAATCAAAACTGTGCTATTACGTAAATACTTGTACAGAGTACTGAACATTTTGAAATTATTTCTGTTTATAAAATATGTTAAATATTTCGAAATGAGAATGAGAAGAAAAAAAATCAAAAATAGTTTTTAAAACTTTTAACGCACAAACTTCTTGCCGAGAGTATGTTTTTGCCTTCATTTTACTATTCACTTTTGTGGACTCTTTTTTGGTCGATGGATGCTTGACTTTTTGTAAATAAATTTGCATATAAAACTTCAGAAAGAGAACAATTCAACTAGCGGATTGCTTTTTAGTTCGATAAGACATTTCTTTTCTCCATCCAATATTGATTCGCCATCAAAAAATAAATTTCGTCTATTGAAATCTGAATGATTGGAAAAAGTTTTACGAATTCACTTTAATTTTTGCAAATGCAACGTGAAATGATGAGAATTCCATACTTTAAAGTGCAATTGAAAATTCCAATAGAGTTGATATTTCTTTTGCCTGTATCTTTTTTATTGTTTTCCTTTGAAAGCACACTTCGCACTTGTTTTCGAGATATAGATAGATAGAGAGAGAGAGAGAGAGAGAGAGAGAACTTTGAATTTTTATAAGTTTTCTTGTAGATTCAAGAAACATCACACAACAAAGTGACACATATACCAGCTGAATAGTTCTTCTGAATTTTATAAATAAATGCTTGTCTTTTTCCTCAGTATGTGTGGGTGAGAGTAACAAATATTCTCAAGTTATATCTGTATGTTTTGTTTGTTCGAATGAACCTCTCTTTATTTCATTGAGCTGTTGTTCTACGACTTCGTTAGTCATATGCTGTACAACTTCAAAATGCGTATTTACATAAAAATATCGCTAAGATGTTTCAGTCTAGCTTGCAACTGATTTACAGGTAGAACAAAGAGAAAATGTGGGTTGTGTACCATTTTCAAGAGAAGAAGATATTAGAAATGGCCTTCATTGAAAAGAATCAGTGACTCCGAAATCTGTGGAAATCAGAGTATTTAATTCAATTTATAATTTTAAATGTAGACAGACAAGTGGTGCTTCATTTCTAGTCTGAAGTATTCTAGAAGCATTTTGCTTCTAACTGCCCCAAAAATGCTCCAATTATTATTATGACCATGTTTGAAATGAGTGCACGAACGCGCACTTTTTCTCTTTTCCTTCTTCTCTCCATCTCGTTTTATCTATGGCTCAAAATCCCATGCAAATGAATTGACATTAAAAAACAAGCCATAAAACGAGAAAAGGTGGTCTTGTCATCATTGTGCTTGAGTATGGTGTCAAAAATACCGGTGATGAAATTAATTAGACTTTTGACTGCACACCCGAACATGTTTCCGGTGAAGCGCAAAAAACAAGCGCATGTTTTTTCTTCTCTCCCACGTTGTTGAATTTTACTCTTTTACGTTGAGTGGGTCCATCGGAATGTTCTCGTTAGTGAAAACGGGATTCATTTGTTAGCGAATCTGCGCGCCAAAAACATCATGAAGATAACAAACAGCAGAGATAATGTGTTGTACAGCAGTCTAACAACATGAACGGAATTTCAAATGTTCGCATTTGTACAATTTACGTACACGTACACCCTTTTTTACGCTTCAACACCAAAAATTGAAGGACGTACAAACACCAGTCGACCATGCTAATCTAATTTATTGATTTTAATTATGCCAAACAAGCATGCTAATATCACACTCATTGCATTCAAAGGCGTTCAACATCCAATGAGCCAGCCAGATATTTTTCCGATAATGCGTTTCACCATACACATTAAATACTATAGCGGCCGACGTGAAAATAGTCCGCGTGTGTGTGAAAGAGAGCAGAGAGAGTTGAAAAAACCATGCACTTTGCACACGCCAAAAAATGTACACAAATTTCTGTGGAAAAAGTTTACTAGCGCTCTCCCAAATACAAACACATATTTTCTGGCAAATGCCTGTTTCAATTTTTGCTTGAATGAATAATGGATAAAATATGTTTAATATGCTAAGTGATTATTCCCGTTATGTCTCCGAAAACAACATTTCAAGTAAATTGAATTTAAATGATCATAGATTGAGCAAAGGCACACGAAAAACGCGTTAAAATAATAAACAATCATTTCATCCAACATTACTTACCGATACAGCATACTAATAAGATGGTTGATAGCAGCGGCATTGATGACGATGATGATAACGACATGGTCACCAAAAAACACATGTTTTAGTTATAATTTATATGATTGGTTTGTGGTTATTATAATATATATTTTTTTTTATTATAGATTAGTCCTTCGTTCTGTTTTATCGCAATTTACGATTTATCACTCTGTAAATTTATAGAATAAACTTTATCGAAACCGAAACATATACTTCGTTTTTTTAATAAATATATATTACTCTTCAATATGATAATTAAATTTAAATGGTTGAACATTTGTGAGAGGGTTGACGCAGTGTGGGCGCAACATAATTTATCACATGGAATGTGAGAGTGAATGTTAAAGTCAAGTATTTTTCAATTCTCATCAATGTATATGGTGTAAATTGTGGAAGTTTTTACACTGTATTTTTTCTCTTTCTCTGTATGTTGTTTTTATTTTCACGTCAATTGAGTTTTTTCGCACGTTTTTCATCGTATTTTTATTCTCATTTCATTTGCTCGATGATGCTGCATTCCGTATCGATTCGGCGCTCTCTGTAACAACAAAAATACTTCGATTATTTAATGAGAAATTACGTCAAAATAACACCAACAATCAGAAAAAAAACATCAACCATAAAATTAATTGATTTCAGCTTAAATCAATGGCTATGCAAGCGTTACAAAATGAATGTTAATTACAATAGACCAAAATGCCCAAGCAAATGATACACCACATTTCGAATGCTTTGACAGCTGACAATCAACTGAAATTTTTTACAATTCCAAATTGAAAAGGATTTCCAGTTCGGTCATCGCAGCACACCTGTCTGATTTTTGATTGGAGATTTTGTTCGTGTACAAAATAACACATCGAAAACACACTGACTGGCGCTGCAAACAACGTTCACACAAACACATTGGTATTATTAATAGATACGATGATTTAATTCGGACAATCATTCAAAATGTAAATGGAAAAATGATTTAATTGATAAATTGTTCCTTCCGGGTATTCAGCGTGTATTTCATCCGTATTATTATTGCCCCATTTAATCTATATGAAAACATTAATATTGAATAATGAATAATAATGAATAATAAGTGGTAGTCAGAAGTGGTGTATTTTATCAATTTGAAATTTATTAACAGGATATCGATTTTTGAAACCCAATATTTTATCTATTTTCGAATTTTTGCTGTAACAATTGCATAATTTATTCAAACACAAATATTTGATGAATATAGATTGAATAACATCCGATTACTAGATTGAAACATTAAACAAAATTGAATGCACAATTGTTCTATTTTAAAAAGGCACATGTTATTAGCAACATACACCCAAATTGTGCACTCAAACGAAGTAATTTACTTGAATGAAACAATTGGAATTGGATCATGAGGTTTTCACATTCCAAATGGATGTGCTGTTGCTTTTTTATGTTGAAGGTGCCAAGTGGAAAATGCTTTGTGGTCAAAATAGCCTGGTCATTTTTGCCAATTTCATGGTGTGCAAAAACCATTGCTTGACTATTTGCATTCAAAAAAGGCAAAAACCACAAAAACTTTCAAAACAACGAATGCCTTGCATAAAAGTCACTTTGAAAAGCCATTTTAAATGGAATGTTTGCTATAGTGGATAATCGGTATATTTGCTTCATCATTCATGCGATGATTCGAATTCGAATGGAAAATGTATATGGTATGTTTGAGTGTGAATTTTGATTAGTTCTCTTCAAGAATTTCGTGAACAGAATTTTGGGAACTCAATCGATGTTTTGTGAATTTCTTACGTTTGTGATGAATGTTTTCCAATTAAAATTGCTTGTCGAACTTTCACGAAATCAGTTGATGTTTAAGCAGTTTTATATCGTTCGCGCAAATCTGAAAATAAAGTGTGAGAAAGAGAGAAAAATGTTGAATATTTTAAAATCATTATACTATAATTTAATAAATTCTTGGATGCAGAATTTTCTGTGAAAATGTATAAATATCAATTATACGTGCTCCTATATACGTGCACCATCCACGCGATTCGCTTTTTTCATTTGTGCAATTGCCATAATCATTGAATTTATGAAACGTGTTTTTGTCTTAAAATGAGCCACGTGTATCTCTTGGCGTTATAATATAATTTAATCGAAGCAATTAATTGAAATATTCATTAAAATCTTTTTTTTTTTTTTTTTTTTTTTTCGTATAAATTCTAAGGTTTGAGTTGCGAATGTGTATGTGGATGCGTACGTAAAAAATATGTTCATTGATGCCGCTATGCGGGTTCTGTCATTTCGAATACAAAACATTAAATAAATTGCTCTTATCTCTGCAAGATGAAAACCATACCTAATTCATTCAAAAAGCTCGAGTGGCAGAAACACTGTGGCAAACAAAAGTTAGATGGGCTCAGTTGGCTACTGATTGCACTGTTTCAATTGCTTTGGAAGCGTACAACGAGTAACATCGCAAGTCTCTGCTTGTTTTCTTTTTTTGATTTTTTTTTTATTCGGTTTGCTGTTGTTCGCTTTCGACCGTCAAGCGACAAGTACCATACACACCGACAGATGTGCTTGTAGCGCACAAAACACGTCTCGATCCTAGTTAATGGTACACAGTTAACGAAATCTATGTAGATTATGTGTTGAACTGTTTGCTGTTACTGCTACTTCGTCTAATTTCTTTCTGCGCCATTTGGATGCTGATTTTCCTGTCGGCAAAAATTAATTGGATTAGTTTTATCGTTTTCCAAATAATAAATAAATTCCACATATCTAATACTAACAAAATGAAAATCTCTCGTCGTCTGTTTTTTTTTGCTTGATCAACTGACGGCTGCGTGCCTATCTATAGCATAAATATCTATGAACAATAAACACGCACACATGCAGCTGCTCCATGCTATTTGTTGAGCTTTTTTTATTCAATTTCATGGTGTTCGTATTGCGAATGTGTATATGAGTTTATTGTTATAACAGAATGTATGACAGGCAAGTCATAGCATTGACAGCATGCGCTGCATTTTGTACACAGTTCTCTAAGTTTTCTCTCGTGCGTAAAATTCGAATTGAAGTGGTTTTATCTTTGCTCAAATCTATTCTTTCTGTCGCTTCGTGAATCTGTGGCCTCTTTTGTTTTCTTTTGTTTCAAATGATTTGAAAGGAATATTAAATCAAATCACAGCAGCCTGGCGCTAAGCTACAGCTCCGCAAAAATGGGAGATATAGATAATGCGTATATGAGAAATGGAAAGAGAAACACAATTAGAAGCGCAAATGAACACATTTACGAGCGAATTAAGAGCGAATGAAGCGCGAAAAGATCCATATGTGTTGCTCAAAATAGAAATTCATGACATTGCTTGATGAGATTTGAGAGGCAGAGAGACAAAGAGAAAGAGAGAGAGAAACAAATATAGAAACGAAACATTTCATGTGACTCTTAATACTATTTAACCGCTCATTTGACACTCGGGCTTTAGTGGTTGTTGCCTTTTGCTTTCAATTCACACGCTCAAAATAATATCAAATGAACAATTTCGTAATGCGAATAATGGTGTCAACGGCGAGTAAAATTGCATTGGTTTATACAATTTTACACACGGTGTGGTTTAATTAAAAATCGAAACCTTTGCTCCCTCGGATATATTAATAACTCAATGTAATTCCAAGCAAATAGTAAATAACGCTCGACTCAAATGAATTAGTGAAATGATGTGTGGATGGCAATGTTATATGGAATGAACACACACACGAAATGTGAATGGATGCCATTGGATGGCGCCTTGATAATAATTACAATGTCTTCGACCAAGTTAAAAATATCTTTGAAATTGAGAGAGAGAGAAAGTAAAGCAACGAACGAATTGAGTCAATGCTGATTGAAATTGACTTTTCACATAAGATGTGCTTGGTTCGGTGTTATCCCTTACTTTTGGCTTAATGTAATTGGATTTCTTTTCAGGAGTTTAATTAGTTTTTCATTCCAATACATGAACGATTCGGTTCGTGCCGGGCACCTGATCAATCAGGAATTGTAATTATATCTCTATCCTTCGTCCATTTCTTACTAATTACACTCGATAAAGAAAGACTTTGAGCTTAAAGCTATGGCTTAATATAGATATGTCGTGCGAAGATTAGAGATTTAATTTGGCTTCTGACACCAAACATTTCGAACGACGAGAGCCTTTCGGATACGACAAAATTGAATTTAATTTTCACTTCGGGCACCTAAAAGACGTAGTCAACGAATGGCCAAATGAACCCAAATGCAGTTCACTTCAGTTTTCGACGCCAAAATTCAATTATGAAGCATTTATAGGTGCTGCCGAAAAATCCTAATTGAATAAATATGTTTGCACAAAATCCTGTCCCTTAATGTTCTATATATGCATAATAATAATTTCGACAAAAGCGTCGATCAAACTTCAAACCAACGCTTAATTATGGGTTGAAATTTCATGAAAATGCTTTATGAATAAATTTTTAATGAGCATTTCTGGAAATATTCCGGTTCTTTTTTACAGCACCACCAACAGTATAGTCGTCAACATCATCAGAATCTCAAAAATTATGAATATTCAATTAGCCTTCGATGGTTTTCAGAAAGTTTTTCGCTATTATTTCACATTGCGGAAAAGTGAAGTACTTGCCGCTTTTTGACCAAACACATACTCATTCACTTAAACAATGATTTATGAGCTACATAATGAGCAAATAATTTTCTACCAGCCATTAAATTACACAAAAAACTTTGATTCGACAAAGAGATCGTCTCTGTTTTTACTCAATCAAATGTTGCTTCATTGAAAAATGTGTATATTAAAATTTAATAATTATATTCATACACACGCATAATATTAATAAAGTTCGGCAACAGTATTATTTAATTTAGCTTTCAAACTATTTCACTTCCACGCTTCCAAATAGCTCATGAACATTTATCGTATGATTTTTGCATCTTTTTGTCCAACAACTTTCTAATTCTGCCTTCATTATGAAGCGCTAAACTAACCATGAAATTCAATTTGAAAAATCTGAGTTTAGATTTAGTTAAAACTGAAATCAACATTTAACCATTTTTTTGTGCAGCATCCAATTTTCATAAAAGATACTTTTTTCCAATGTTCTTCACAAAAAAAAAACCCAATGATATAATTGCTGCTCATTGACACGTGTTCATCACCACCGAAATTTATTTAGGCCACATTGAAATGGGCCCGTGTTCTTCCGTGGTCGGTACATATCCACACATTACGGTGATGTAATAATATGAAATGTGTTTTCCCATCGGATAAATTTTTTTTTGTTCTCGCTGTCGTTGGTCGTTTGTTGGAGAATTTTAATAACTGTAATTCAATTCAGGCATCAAAACGAGTTCGGCTCTTCTCATCGCATCCAAGTATTTATCGGATTAAGCGGCAAATGAATGGCAAAATCGGATCAAGGGAAAATAATGATGGAAAACACACACACCATACGCACAGACAAAAACACCAAGCTGTATGTAACCGGTGGCAAAAAACATCTTTTCAAAATATCGAAAATGTTCGGCCATCGGGCGATGTGATGCTGTAAATGTTTTGCATGTTATCTGTTTTGTTGAAATTCCGCATAAAACGTGCAGATCTCATCAGAAGCAGAGAAAAAAAAAACAACGACCAACAGCAGGCAAATGTGAGATTAAAAAACTGGGATATATGCAAATGGACACAAAAATTAATTGTCACGCTTACACACCCCCCACCCTCAATTTCGCTCTGCTTCTTCATGTTTCCACTTTCGACATATTTTCTATGCCACACAAACACACATAAACAAATGAAATCGAAAAATGTCTGTTAGAAAACTATTTCGACATTGGAATCGTGTCACCGCATTATACGGTTAATGAATGTGACAAAATCTCTGTGGTGATGATGGTGGTATTGAAGACGTAATTTTTTGAGTATGATTTAATTACGTTCCAAAAATACGAGGAAAACCAAAACTCTTCAGTTACCTATTAAAGCAGAATTAATTTAGTATGCAAAAAGTAAAATCCACTCTCAAACACCAAACCACTCAACCGCACGCACACAACAAAAATGAAAAGCCGTATGACAAACATTTTCTGAATATATCTTTTATCATTCGCATTGATATCAACATTACAGCTTTCGGTCTCTCTTTTTCTCTCAACCAGACTGGCTTATGTGTGTATTCAGCATTTTTTCGAACAAATAGACATTAAAATTCAAAATCAAGTACCAAACATTATAAAGAATTTCATTCGAACACGATTTTATTTATGGCATTTGTCCGGCTAGACGCAAGCATCAACTGTATTGTTTTTGTCGTCGCTTGATCGGCATCTTTTATATCTTGTTTTTACAACTGTTGTTGAAAAACTTATGAATTTTCTGTATTCGTATGCAAATGCCTTTATTTAAAATTGTAGACAAATTACATTAAACTTGGAAAAACATGTAAAACTTTAACGTCTGTACGATGTCCGAGGTGAGTTTTAGTTGGAAAAATATACTGTGCGCCACTACAATAACGACAATTACTATGGAAAATAGCATTTTTGATCTTTGCTCCTCAGAATTCATGTATTACTTTGACTCAATTTTTGGAGAATTGGGCGTCTTTCTCTCTCTCTTTCTCGTACTCGTTCTCTTTCTCTCTTTTTCTTTTATTTTTGCGATATATACACCCTTTTTAGGTCAAAACTCTCATGCAAACACGTAAAATAGTATCGGGATTATTGCGAATTGTTTTAATTTAATACAACAATTCTTCGGAATGTTGAAATGTGAAATCATTATTACAGAAATACAAAAGCACACACACACACACACATTGTGCCGGATTAAAAGTTGTACAGAAAAATTGTCGAGAAAAAAACTGTTCAAGAAGAGGTATACAGAAAAAAATGAGCTTTAAAATGCAAATCACAATTCCATCGCCATCCAATTCGGGATAATACGTGGAGATTACGTTGCACAAAATTGGAAAAACAATTCCAATGTTTTCACGGATACACAATATTTATAGACATTTTTTTGCTATACAAGTTGCAAGCTGCAACTAAACTCGTTAGTTTTCTGTTATGTTGCTGGCAACCTTTCGGCTCTCATGCTTTATGGTTAAATTGAACGATTAAGCGATTCTCAATAATTGAGTCTGGTGATTAACAAAATAGCCGCATTTCATTTATTAAAACGTTGATATGCCGTACTCGCTTTCGTTTCCTCTCTCATGCACGATATTTGGTCATTGTTCCAGGGTTCAGTGCGGATGTGGTTTTTTTTGTTCATTCTTCATTCGAGCAAAATTGAAAATATTTTATAAACCGAAAATGTACAATGTTCAATTCATTTTCATATTTTCCCATCAGTTTATTATAGGGAAAAGAAACCCGAGTCACAGAAACAAATATTATCGAATCAATGGTATATTTTTGTGTGTATTATGTTGCCGTTGAACAGGCGAATAAATGTAATGTGAAATGAATGCCATTTGCGTATGTTGTGCATACATGTTTTATGACTCTGCATTTTTCAATGTTCATGCATTTTTCGCAGAAAACTAACATGAAATAGTTTTTATTTAATTCACGTATTGTTGCAAATTCATGTGTTTGCATAAAAAAAGCAATGAATCATGAGGATTTTCTCTGGAAATTTTCATTTTTTTTTTCTTTGCACAATCCCAAACCATACAC